CAGTGACAAGATGGCCCAGCCCCATCAGAAGGCCTTTAATGTCTGAGTAAAGTCTCTATCGCAGAAGGACCAGGTGCTGCCTCTGGGGTCATGATCCTCACAGCCCTCTCCACAGCCCCAGTGTCAGCCCGCAGAGGCAGGCTCCTGTCTCCTCATTTCTCCTCATTTAGCAGATAGAGAAACTGAGTGTTCCTGTGCGTTGCCCCAGTCCCAGGGCCTGTCCAACAGTGCCACTGAACTTGAACTTGTACCCCAGGAAGTCAACAATGGTCTCCTTGCCCCTTCCCCATCACTCTTCGTCCACCTACAAGCCGTGGTCTCCTGTTGGCCACTAAGTTTTCCTAGGCACTGGGGATGCAACATCAGAAATTCTGGGTCCCAGAGTCCAGGAGTGGCAAGGCTAGGCAGGCCAAAGCTGTACATTGTGAGGGGACATGTGGGGCGTGGGCAGGACACAGGCAAGGCCCACCCTTAGGACCAGTGGGGCTGAGAATGTGACCAGACCACAGTAGCCAAAAATCTGTTAATATGAATTAGGCTCCATGGGGCTGTCAACTGGTGTTCTGGTTTTGGGCAACCCCAAGAGACCCGTGGCTGGTAATGCCTGTCTAATATTTACAATCAGCCTTTCCTAAGTCCTGGGTGGGTGCCTGGTAACCCCAGGCTTTCTGTGTATTCACCAACTTAACTCTCCAGTGACCTATAGAAATAGGTATGTTACCTTACACCCATTTCACAGATTGGCTCAGAGAGGTTGGATAACCTGTGCAAGGGGCACAGTTGGTCAGTGGTCAGGGTGCTGCTGACTGCTGTGTTACCTTACCTCTTCCAATCTCCCTGTGCTGCATGATACCACTGTTCCTTTTTCCTATTCTGTCGAAGAGTAGCTAGAAAGTTCTGTTCCAAGTCTCCGAGCCCCGAGACTTCCAAGGGCTCACCCTATACCCAAGGAGGAAATTAATCTTGAATGCTGTCCTCGCGGGGCCTGCTGGGTTCCTGTGAGAATTTCCCCAGGCATTGGCCTCGGGTCAGTAGGTGCAGGCAGACAGACTCCTTTGCAGACTCCTACTCACCCTACAAAACCCAGCTATAAAGTCCCTTCCTCCTCAAGGAGAACTCTCTCTGGCTGGGGTCCTGCAGGCTGTGTTCTGGGAAAGTCCTTATCTGGGTAGGGTCTGTGCTGGGGCCAGGGGCCTGGCCCTGCCACTTCTGGCCCTTGGGGCCTTGGCTTCCCCAGATTGAAGGAGGTCCTAACCCCAGCCCTTCCCCCTGGATGGTCCAACAGAGCTTATACATGACCGTCTGGGAGGCCCTGCCATACCCAGCCCCTATCTGGGCAAGTAGGCCTTGCTTTGCCAGGATGTGGTGTGGCTTGGGAGTCAGGAGACATCCAGGCCTCCAGGTGAGAAGGAAGAGCACACAGTCAGACGCTATTTTAAAAGGCTGCTGAAAGGCAAGGGTGGGATCCCAGCTTTACTCTAAGTTCTAAATTTAGATGCAGAGGGGTAAATACAGCCCAGCAGCCTCCTGTTTGCAGAGACCCCTGGGCACTGAACAGAGGAGCCCGTGTTTGCAAAAACTGCTTTCCCTCTGCTCAAACTTGAACACAAACAAATGCATTTTGTTCCAAGAGTGAAGAAAAAAGTCTTAAATCCTCCCCAAATGCCTCAGCGGCCAGGCTCGGGCGCCACATTTGGGGGTGTGGGAGATCTCACATCTGAACTGGGCATCTCCACCCCAGAGAGGGGTGGGAAGTGTGGCTCAGCCACTTGACAGCTGGGGAAACTGAGGCCCAGTCAGGGGAGAGACCTTCCCACCAAGTCCCCTGGGACACCCGCTGCCCTGTGCTGGATCGTGTCCTCCTCAATTCACTCCCACCTGTTCCCTCAGAACGTGATCTTATTTGGAAACAGGGTCTTCAAAGATGTAATTAAGATCTCACAATGAAATCCTCCCGGATTACCCGGGTGGGCCCTAAATCCCATGACAATGTCCCTATAAGAGAAGAGAGAGACAGACGCGAAAGAATGAAGCAGCCACAAGGCCCGGAACACCTGGGGTCACCAGAAGGTGGACGGGGCAAGGAACAAGCCCCCACACCAGCCTCCAGAGAGAGTGTGGCCCTCCCCACATCTTGATTTCAGACTTCTGGCCTCCAAAATGCAATACATTCCTGTTGTTTTATGCTAACCAGTTTGTGAAACTTTGTTGTGGCAGCTCCAGCCCTATTTGGGTACATTTGAAGAGTGAAGGGCCCAGAGTCCAGACGAGGCCTAAGGCAGACGTGTGTGGAGCTCAAAGTGGCCTGGCCTCTGGGAAGCCGCCCACTGCTAAGTGCACCACAGCGGGTCTCCCACCCCAGGCTGGGCAGGGGCTGCACCACTTCCCTGTAGGGTGACAAAGCCAGGACAAAGGAAACTGAGGGAAGACAACTGCCCAGGGTGCAGTTGCAATTTGGCAAACCAGCTTAAAAGCCCCCATCAGGCTGCCCTGTCTTGCATTTCTCAAATTCTGTTTGTCCACAAAGCACCAGGAACATAGCCCATAACTCAAGCCACAGGGGCTGCTCCCCCCAGACAGCTGCAGGGGCAGCTGAATGGAAGCTGTTTGCCCCAGGGCGGCCAGGGGCGCGGGGGCCCGGTGGGAACAATGGCCAGGCCAGGGCACACGGTGGCCGAGGCGCGGGCTGCAGCTGACGGCGCGGGCCAGGACACTGGTGCCAAGCCGGGCACAAAGGGGCCGTGTTCCCGGCCAGCGGGCGGATGTTTGCACAGGTGTGGGAGTGGGAGCGCCACTCTGCCGCGGGCTGGGGGGTTGGGGAGTAGCCTCTGCTGCCCACAGCTCCAGTGGGCAGCCAGGAAGGCTGGTGGGCGGCACCAAAGCTGGGCACTGCTCATTAGCCATACCTCGGGCCATCACCCTCTCCCCACCCTCCTGCAATTCTCCTGGACCTGGGCAGTCGGTGCCCCACTCAGGCCCTGCCCTGTCCCTGATCTGTGTCTGGGGCTGAACCCTCCTGCCCAGACGTAATCGGGCCTGTCACTATAGGCCTTTAGGGACACAGGCACCCCAGGAGGGCAGGCAGAGGCTGAAACTGAGGACTGCCCCAACCTGGGAGCTGTGTCAGCAAATACATGCTTTCTCTGAGCAGTCTGGCATGTTAGAAACTTCCAGAAAACATGCTGCCTTGACCAGTAGGTATCTGGCCTATCAGGGGACACAGGAAACACAGGGGCACACGCCTGCTCAGCGAGCTACAGGCAGCTTCTCACCCCACCTGATGCACTTAGATTAGCTCCCTTCTGTGGAGGGCGGGGAGGCCAGGAGGCCTTTCCTCAGTGGAGGGAGGAACCCTCAGGGCTGGGACCTGACACAGATACCCGCCTCTAGCCCTCGGGCCCTGTGCAGTCCCCCAACCCACATGGGCTATATCTTTCTTCTTTCCCCATCCCAGTTGCTGCCACCTCCATCCTGCCCAGGGGCCTTAGCAGACAGAGTGGACTCAGGGTGGGCTTGTTGGGGCAGAGCAGGGGCAACCTAGTCCCTGCCTGAGAACAAGCCAGCAGCTTGAGGTCAGCTCAGCTCCCTACCCCTCACCCAGCCTGCCTGGCCAGGGTGGCCCACCGCCCCTAAAGCTGAGGGGCTGGGGGTGGCCAGCACTCCACCCTCTAGTCTTAAACCAGCTGCTCCCCCTGGGGTGCTGTGTGCTCCTATGTGCATAAAAACTGTTTTATCTGGAGGATTTGAAGGCTGTGTGGGCAGTGACCAACTTCTGCAGGGACACTGGCAGCCCAGGCTTCCCCTAGAAACACTGAGGCCGCATTCTCTGAGCTACAAGAAATTGCTCCTAGGCCCACGCACCTGTGGCACAGGACTCAGGGGTGGGTCCTGCTCCTTTCAGCTGCATTCCTGCTGCAAGGTGTCTGGTCCATCCGCCAGCCTGGCTCCTTGCAGGACGCCCACCCACCCGCACCGCTCTCCTGAACAGTCGGCTCATATTGGGCCTCTGGGGATCAAGTGTGGGAGCATCAGGCACCCCTGCCCAGGTGCCTGGGCACAGGCTGTACCTGTCCTGCTCCCGTGACCGGCTACAGAATTCCCAGGCTCTGTATCCAGTGCAAATGCGAGCTCTTGCCCTCTCTGGGGCTTCTCCACCCATCATGGTCTCCCACTCCTGGAGCACAGGGATGAGCACAGGGCTGGGGCAGACCCTCAGACACTCAGGGCATCACCTCACCACATCCTCCCTATACCTGTTCCACCCAGCTGAGGACCCAGCCCAGTGGGACCGGAGGTGTAGCTGCCTGGGAGCTAAGTCCCCCACAGCATCCTATGGGACTTTCCTTACAAAACAGAAGCTCAAAGAAGAAAGTATTAGAAATCAGGAGGCAGTTGGAACACGGTGTACCAACTGGGTACAGTGGGTCCCAGGTGCAGCTTCAGTAACAGACTTGCAGCAAAGGGAGTGAGTGTCCAGGCAGGAGCCTGCCAACGTGGCATCAAATCGTAAGAAATCCATGCCCCCAGCACCCTGCTATGTCTGCCCATGCTCTGTGGCCCCAACCCAGGACCCCTGCCCACCAGATCCCAACTTACCACCCCCCACCACAGCGCATCTGCGTAGCTGCCGAACTCCACGCGGCCCGACTCATTCACTGCGTCCTTCTCAGCCAGGTACACGAAGTACGAGGAGAAGATGAGGCCCAAGAAGCCGATGTACAGGGTGGTCACCAGTTCCTAGGCCAGCAAGTGGACACCGTGTCAGGGCCAGGTTTCTGCACAGATGTCACACCAATGCCACGGGCCACGAGGGAACAGGCTCGGTCAAGTTCCAACATGTTCCAGACAACTGTCGGCTCAAGTGTGTTTCATGTGTGGACATTGGACTTTAAAATAATCCATTTCCCACAACTCTCCAAGATGGTCAGGATTGGGCCCCACCTGGGGCACGAGGCTCAGCCCTGCAACTGCCCGGTTCTCTTCCCCAAATGGGACAGAACACAGATTTGATGGGGACCAGAAGACTCTCAGTAAGGTGAGGGCCCCCTGCCCGCTGCAGCCTGTACCTGTCTTGGTCCTAGGGAAGGGCACCAGTGCCTGGCCTGTACTGAGTTTTTCTTGATGTGCCTGGTCTTGAATTTCTGAGCCTCTTAGACATTGATTTTTATCTCTTATGTTTCTGTCTTTATATTTGCCCCACTTTGTCCCAAGCTCACAAGGAGGTGGGCATGTTATCAGCTTGGCAGGCTGGGGATACTGGCCTGGGGCTGTGGAGGGCAGCAAACCATCTGGATTTGGGCTGGAGGAGCTATGGGATCCCAAACCCTGTGATGTGCCCTGGTGCCCTGGCACCTGCTCCTCACAGCAGGGCAGAGCCAGGCCCTGAGCCTGTCCTGAGCCACCCTAGTGTGGCCAGACTGCCCTGTCCCCCCACCCCCAGCACCACCTAGAACACACACCTGGCGGTGGATGAAGACCACAGAGCCTAGGAGCCTCCAAGTCCCTCCCTGGCGGTCGACATGCAGCATCCGCAGGATCTGGAGGAAGCGGATACCCCTGAGAGGGGACGTGCAGGTGAGAGGTGCTCACTTCTCATCTATCCCATTGGACTGTCGTGCTCCACACCTGCCCTCTAGACTCAGCCCTGCTCGGACACCTCAGAGTCCCCTTCTTGGCATAGCTCCTCAGTGTACCATGGGGTTGGGGCTGGAGGGGTTTACACATCTCCAAATTCCTTTGGTCTCTAGACCACCTTTTGGAGAGGCCTGGGGTCACCAGAGGTGCAGCCTGTGCACTACCCAGGTCTCAAAACCCAGGAAGCATTGGTGCATGGCCTGGCATGGAGGGCCACCTGTGGGCCCTGAGCCCAGCCTGCCCCAACACATCGCTCCATGTGCTTGGGGCAGTGAGCACCTGGGAAAGTGAGCACATCAGAGCCAGGCGGATGGGGTGTGAGGCCACCCACAGCTCTGGAGAGGGGTGCTGGTGGGGGTCAGCACCCTCTAGCCCCATGGCACAGGCAGCAGGTAGGGGAGAGCTCCTAGCACAGACGCACCTGATAGCTGATGTGGCAAACACCTGCCCTTTGGAGCCCACGCAGAGGACCACCATAGAGGCTACAACCACGATGAGGTCTGCAGGGCACAGGGAAGGGAGTAGCTTGTCATAGCCATCCCCAGACACCCATCCCGCCTCTGAAGAAGGGGCTTGCAGGTCAGGTGTGGCAGGGCACAATGAAAGGACACCAAGATGGGGAGGCTGATAGCACCTGAGAGAGACCCACCCTCTGTCCTGGCCACACACGGAGCCCCCATCCCTACTCTAGCTCGGGCCAGGCCTCATGGTCAGGGCTGCATGGGGTCAGGGAGAACAGAGCCTTGGGTGCATGCCATCAACCACGCCAAGTGAAGAGGGTCCCAGGAAGCAGTAGGGGAGCCCCCCACTCCATGAGCAGTGTCTCTGTGCAGAGGTGGACCAGGGTTGCAGCTGGCTCTGAGCTGGGACTTGGGTAGTCACCCACTGATGGTCCCAGGGTCCTGCCCCATCAAAGGCAGGCAGAGTAGTAAGGGTCTCTCAGTCTTCTGGAGGGGGGCCTCAGGTGGCTGTGACATGGGGCCCTTCCTGGCCTGCAAACCCAGAATGAACCTCTGTGGGGCACGACTCACCAATGATGGAGATGGGCTTCCGGGCAAAGCGCAGCCTTCCCCAGATGCCAACGTACTTGCTGCGACAGCCTGCTGACCAGAGGCGGACCACGTACTCTGTCCCAAAGAACACCACCAGGATGATCTCCTGTAGGGAAAAGGGTTGAGCTTGCTCTGTGCAGGGCTTGGCCTCACAGCGTCAGACCCCAAAACTGCCAGACGCCAGGAGCCTCTGCTGAAGGGTACCCCAAGAATAGAAGGCCTAGGGATCAGTCTGCTAAGGGTGGTGGTACGTACATGCAGTGCCCACCTGAAAAGGCCAGTGGCCTGAGCCCAGGTCCACAGGCAGTAGACACTTGGTAGGACCTGCAGCTTTTCAGATCAGCCTGTGTGGGCCAGAGGCACTGTGCCACGTGCCATGGCCTAGCCACAGGACACCCTGCAGCCCATGTCCTCTAGCCAAAGCTAATGTAAACCACTGAACCCCAGAACTCAGGCCCGGCATCCCGATCTGTCCTCATGGGACTCGACCCCTTCCATATCATACTTCAGAGAGTCAACATGCCCCCAGAACATAGTCGTCTACCAGTATGCGGCCTTCACTGGGGCCCAGGTGTAGCAGCCCTCTGGGGTGGGGGTCTAGCAGGAGGAAGAGGAAATAAGCTTTCTTGGGGGCCCCTCCCCATGGTTCAGATGAACTCAGGGGCCTTGGGGGAGCCAGGGTGTGGTGAGCTGGAACACCAAGGGCCAGCACCTGGCTCATGACGGATGGATAGACAGACAGTAGGTGGGTTGGGGGAAACCAGACAAACACCAAGCATGCTGCTGTAGCTACCCCAGTCAGCCAGCAGCCAGGATGGCTCCCTGAGGCTCAGTGTCCACCACACCATGAACCCCACAGCTTCCTGTCACCTTCACCACAGCCCCAGACAGAGGCTGGGGACAAGTGACCACCCAAGGCCTTGAGGCAGCCCTGAGAGCAAGCGTCTGGGCCATACTGGGCACCAACCTTAGTGTCCCACCTCAAGGTGGGGCCCTTGTGTCAGCAGCATCTGGAGGTAAAGCGGTGGCCAGGACTGCTGCCAGGTGACCAAAAACCATTGTGAAAGACCCCTGGGCACACAGGGAGGAGCACCCCACCAGCCCCATCCCTGGATGCCCCCAGGTATAGACTGGGAACCTGAGCCTTGGTTTTCTCAGCTATGGACCATGGATGGAAACAGTCCCATCCTGGTGGGTCAAGGTGAGGGTTTATGGCCAAGTATTTGGCCAAGTATTTAACATGACAGCCAAGAGCATGGGAGCCCCCTCTTAGATGGTGGCACCTGTCCAGCCTTTGCATGCAAAGGCCCTCAGGGCAGGTATAGGGGTTGGAAGAAACAAAGCTTTCCACCTCGCAGGCAGGTGCCATCCAACTGTCCTGTGGGAGTGCAACCTCTTGGGGACTTCTCTGACGGGGTGTCCGTGGCTAGTCTAGCCCTCAGCAGGGAGTCCACCACAGTGGGGTGGCTGGACACTGCCATCACTAGCTCCCAAGTGTTACTGATGAAGTCATATTTACACCAGCCAGTGTGTGTCTGGGGCCTGGCCCCAGGGTGACAGGAGTTCAGCACTCCCACTTTGCAAAGTGTTTTCAGGTTTTAACACTGACTCTCCGGGGCTGGGGGTGTCATGATTGGGGGCACGTGGGAGACAGCTATGGGCTCATTGACACCACAGACTTGGTGGCCTCATCAGGGGTTTATGGTCCCATTTCTGTCTGCCTTCTGCAACAGGGCTCTTGGCTGGGAGTGCCTGAGCCTCCCAGGGCAGAGGCCATGTTGGTCTCACCCTCCTCCCCATCCCAGGCCCCCAGCACAGAACCCGCCGTGGTCAGTGCTCAGCATGGATTTGCTGAATGAAGGGATAAGCAAGTGAGTGGTTATTCAAAGAAGCCTCCAGCTATCTGACGGCAGCAATTTTGTCCTGTTTTTTTGACATCCTGAGGTCACACAATGCCTGCCTTTGGCCATCATGGAACATGCTGCCGAAACACAGCACTCCAAGTCCCCAAGACTGACAGGGTTCTGACTTCACAGCGGATGGCTCCTCCAACCTCTGGTGGCCTCACTGGGGAGCTGTCCCTGGAGGCTTTGCCAGCTCTGTGACCCATACAGCCCTGAACAACCGATCATTGAACAGGCTGGGTCTTATTTGGACTTTTAAAAATTACGTAAACACCTTCTGCAAGCCACATCCTAAGCAGATGTGAAGGGCTAGGTGTGTCGTAGAGCTTAAAATAGTAACAATTAGGGGCTGCTTTTGATGGCTGCATGCACCCGCTCCCCAAATTACACAGCTTGACACTTGGGGAGAGCCTGCTTGGAGGCAGCAGCTGAGCACAGCACAGCCCCTCTGGAGGGTGGAGTAGTAGCAGTAATTCAGAACACTAACCCTCAAATCCTGTGTGACGTGAGGATGCAGCTCAAGGCCCAGCTGCACAGGGAGCCTGACTGTGACGCCGGGAAGGGGCCCAGTTAATTAGTGTGGCGCTGCCGGCAGGCCAGGAAAGGGCAGAGGAGAACAGCCATTTCACCATCCCCAGGCCGGAGACAGCGGGATTGAATGTTTGCTCAGAGATAAAATTATCTCCACCATGATTGGCCTCAAAAGCTCTCTGGGGCTGGGCAGGCACTCAGGCCAAGGCCACAGCAGGACCCCAGGGCTCACGCTCAGACAGGGCAGGAAACGAGGACTGATACCCCAATTCAAGGGAAAATACCCTATGGCCACCACCATCACACAGAATGGCAGGGCCACCTCCCCGTGGCTCTGGGTTAGAGGAGGTCCAGGCTGGGGTGGCCACTCTACTGGCCCCAGGTCCCTCTGCCTTTCCGACTTGGCCCTCTGCATAATCGAGCTAAAGGGGCCTCAAGCTCCTCCCCAGAGCCCGCACTCATCTGTCTCTTCCTGTGTGCCTTCCCTGCTCAAGCAACTGCCATGGTCCACACTACAGGGTTAGGTCTGGGGCTGCCACTCAATGCCTCCTTCTCAGGGCCTTGCAGACCAGTCCCTTGAGAGCTCCCACTGGGCCCAGGTTCCCCCCCCAGGGAGTCCCCTGTCCACCTCTCCCACCTCTAGTCCCCCTTCCCCTCTCAGGCTAGCGTTGACACCCTCACCCCTTCCCCCTGTCAAACCAGGAATGCTGCCTGGCTCCCCTACTGCTAACAGAGCCAGCCTCAGACCCTGACCGAAGCACAGTCAGCAACATCCAGCCCCCAAAGGGCCTCTCAGCAAGACCCACGTGATACCTGCAAGGCCTGGGGCCAAGGACCCATACCCCAGACACTGATGGACTGTGGTCCTGAGATCTGACCCGCAGATGTGAGGAAGGCTGTCCTTGGGCAAAGGAGCTGAGATTTCTAGTGAGACCCAGGCAGAACAAAGGGACAATGAGGCCCCTTCTGTCCCAGTTGCTGTCCTTCAAAACAAAGCAAGGCCACCTCCTGGCTGCAGATGGCGTCATGGACAAGGGGGCCTCTGAGCTGGGCTAGGGCCCAGACCCAAGCAACCTCTGGCAATGCTGTAATGTGGGGCCCATGACTGCCACCCCTACTCTGCAGAGGAGTACTCGGACTATTGACCCATGTCCCATGGCTTGGGGTTGGGGAGGGCTGGGAGTCCATGGTAGAACAAAGCATAGGTGTCCATAGGTCTGTGGTGGACACTGGTAATGGAGGGCAGGCCCACTGTGGAGGCTGACCACTCATGCACAAGCATAACCTGGGGGGGCCTCGGGGACAGCAGGGTTCTGAAAATAGTCTGCTATGGTGGGAATCATGTGTGCTGGCTAAAGGCAAGTCCTTGGGGATAAGGAGGGGAGGAGAGGCCTGGGCTGCAGAGTCCTGAGCACTGCTGGCCACCCTGGTGGTCACCTGGTGGACAATCAGGATGTTCAGAGTCAGGTCTGACCTGAAGGGTGTTGGCAGGGGCAGCCATGTGGGTATGAGATGGCCCCAAGGAAGACATGGGCACAAGAGGACCCTCCTTCTTCCAGACTCAGTGAGGAGCTAGAGAGGAGCATGTCCAGTGTTCAGCGGGACAGCCAAATCCCCCTAGGTCTGCCCTTCCCGAGGCACCTTCGGGAAATGACAGAAAAAGTGCAGAAAAAGGGAAAAAACACCATGTGGCCTTGGTCTGCAGCCACTCATCCACAGGGGACCCACACATGAGACCGTGCATTTTTCTAACAAGGCCTGAAATCCCAAACAAGACAAGCCTGGGGTCTCGTGCTCTGCCCCTACGTTGGCTGTCCTAGTCCCTATGCCCAGGTCCATTCTGCCTTAAGTGTGAATCCCAGTCAACATTGGGCTTTTCTCCTTGTATACTGATAACTGTTAGGGATTGGCTTTCAGTGGCGTTACCTGTGCAATTTAAAGTTATTTAATAAAACAAGTTTCTAACAACCCAAGTTTTAAAAAAACGTGCAAAGGACTTAAATGTTGACATTACACTAAAGAAGATATACAAATAGCTAACAAGCACAGGAGCGGTGTTGGACGTTACTAATCAACGGAAAAAGAAAACCAAGGCCTCAGTGAGACACCCCCCCCCCCACCAGGAGGATGGCCACTCGAAACAAATAAAAATCACATGTGCTCTTGAGGACTGGATGGAACTGGAGCCCTTGTGCCCTACTGGCAAGGATGCAGGATGGCGCAGCCACTGGGGAAACTGACGGGGCAGTTCTTCAAAACGTTAAATGTGGAACTGCCTCGTAACTGTGCTATGAACTTAAAACTGCCCTAAAAACAGTTGATTAAAAAATACTCCAGAACAAAAAGAGAATTACTGTATGACCCAGCAATTCCATTCTGGGTTCATACCCCGCAGAACTGAAAGCAGGGACTCAAAGAGCCATCCGTTCCCCCACATCCATAGCCACAAGGTAGAAGCAACCCGGTGTCTACCGATGGGGAGATGAATGAGCTGAGTGTGTTCTGCCCGCACAGAGGGGCATCACTCATGGAGAGGAACGAGGCCCTGACACATGCCACGCAGACGAACCTTGAGGACGTCATACTGATAAGCCTGACACAGAAGGACAAACTGTGTGATCCCACTCCGTGGAGGTCCCCAGGGTCATCACGCTCACAGAGACAGGGAGTGGATGGGGGTGCCAGGGACTGTGGAGGGGATCTGGGGGTCTCCAGGGTCATCACGCCCACAGAGACAAGGAGTGGGCAGGGGTGCCAGGGACTGCAGATAGGGAGCTGGGGGTCTCCAGGGTCATCACGCCCACAGAGACAGGGAGTGGGCGGGGGTGCCAGGGACTGCAGATAGGGAGCTGGGGGTCT